CCCACTGAAATTGTTTGAGATATCGTATTTGACGTTAGTAATGGTCCAGGTCTTCGCACACCTCCGATATAATGGTTCCTCCCTATATACGATATTTTGATGATTTTTGCCACATTATTCACCGTTTATTTCAAGTTTCGAATTTGAATATGGTAATGGCTAATGGCAAACAATGCCTATGTATGTCCACGTCGTATAGACCCCAATATAACGGCTATAGTCGGTATTTTTAAAATTTTAACAGAATTTTTTTAGGATTTTATTTTTTTGAAAATTTTCAAATTCATTCCAAATGGTGGAGGGTATTCAAAGTTCGGCCCGGCCGAACTTACTGCTCTTTAACTTGTTTCATATTCAACCGAACTTTATCAATTCAAACTCTGTCCGGTATATCATATCATGCCCTATACAGCAATGTTATTTGGGTCGTAGTTGGTATGATATACTTCACATAAACTCTGAATATTACCTATTTTTATTTGAGCTCTACTACTAAATACGGAAAGTTGACTTTTCCTACTGATTTTCGATGTGAACTTTCAAAAAGCCTTTTATAATGTGCTCAATTTTTTCTGTTTTTTTTTAAGGTGTTTCGTTTCACAGAGCTATTAATTTCCAATTAAGAGACTCTTGGTACCAAACCAATACCAATTACGAAGTTTTATCTATCATCGTTAATTTTTGTCTAATGGCCAAAACATTTGAAATGTATTCGAATGTTCTTTTTTCATTGGTCATAAAATTTTCCAAAATTACTCACTCAAGTTGGGCCGAGACACTTGAAAGTCTAAAAAAATTCTAGAGAAAGAAAAAAAAAAACAAGCAAATGACATTAGCATGTCCTGGCGACATTTAAAGGGAACAAATTTACAACATTTATATCTGTCGGAAGACATAAAGAACCTTGTCATTAAATTGTCCTCCCGCTGTGTAAAAGAGAGAGAGAGAGAGAGAGAGTGGGGGTCGGCTATGGTATCTTTGCTGGCCGTTTCTTGTGTCAGTCAGTCGGTATTTATGCGAAGCCAGCACAGGAAACAGCTGTGAAGGACTCGAAAATGAACGAACGAACGAAACGAAAAGAAATTATGGGTAATTTTTTTCGTGCTGCGCTGTCACAATTGCTGTCGTTGCAATTGTTTGGTCATAACTGTGGAAGAGGGGTGTGTGGCAAGGGGTTTATATTTTTATTATGTTTTATAGGTTAAAACGAAATATTTTATTTATTTACTTTATTATTCATAATAAAATCTTTATGTCTGCTCAGGTTTGAAGCTTGTTTATTTACCCCCCTCCCACCAAATCTTGTCGCTATGCCCCTTGCTGCTGTAGGCACGGTAATATACTCGATTTTTTTATTTCAATTTAATAAAATTCTCAAAGAAGAAGAGAAAAACGAATTGTTGTAAAATTTTCAACAAAACTTAAAGAAAAACGAGAACAGAATGAAATTGTGTGGCTGTGTGTTTTTGTTTGTCTGAAAGGCCTACACTCTTTGTAATCCCTCTAATTGTGTTGTAGTAGCTATAAAATGTTTTGAGGCTTAATGGAAAGCAGTTAAGTGATGCTTTAATGACAATAACACTAAAAATAACAACATGATTGATGTAATTCTATGAACTTAAAGGGAATATTTTTAAGAGGGAATGCGAATCGAACATATTTAAAATATTCCGGATTGAGTCTCTTCTGGGACTACAATGATATTCTTCATTATTAAACAAATAAAGGGTGTCCCAACTAGAACGCTATCCTCGAATCGGTATCGGTGATTTAAGCTACATTATTCACCGGAAATGTTTCAAATTTGACAGAAAATAGCCCGTGATGATTTTAGCGACATTATTCGCCGGAATTATTTCAAAATTTTTATTTGAAGTTCGTAATGGATAATACAGCCAATGCCAGGTTTGTGCAGGCCCAAATCCAAATAAAAAACCAGTAAAGAAAGTCTTAAAGTCGGGTGGGGCCGACTTTATGATACCCTACACCACTTTGCTAATTTTGTAGAGCTGCGCATAAAAATTAAAAGTTCTTATGGGAGAATTCAATCATACACGCTATGATTATAATTATATAATTTTAAAGTTCAAAGGACTACATATGCCGAAGCATTTATATCTTTTAAATTCGGACTTGTATTACCCATTTGGTGCACAATTAATTTGAAATCGGATAAATATATATATGGGAGCCATATCCAAATCGGAACCGATCTCTATAAAATTTGGCAAAGATATTTCTGAGCTGTATTTGATATATTTCCCTGAAAATCGTCGTTACGGAGTGCATATTACAGCTGTGGGTAACAAATATGACAAATCGGATGAACAGTATATATGGGAGCTATAGCTATATCTGAACCGATCTTCACAAAATTCGAAATGCTAGCTTCTAGACTCAATTCGGTTGTAAGTGCCAAATTTCATCCAATTTGGGCAAATATTAGACGTTTGGTGCACAATCAAAGGTTAATCGGCCGAAGTTATATATGGGAGCTATATCCAAATCTGAACCAATCTCGATAAGATTTAGCAAATGTATTTCTGGGCTGTATTTCATATATTTCCCCAAATATTGTTGTTACAGAGTGCATATTACGGCTGCGGAGGACAAAAATAACAAATCGGATGAACAATATATATGGGAGCTATGACTATATCTGAACCGATTTTGATCAAATTTAGCATACTTATTTTCAGGTCCAATCTGATCGTACGTGCAAAAATCCATACTATTCGGACTGATATTACACGTTTGGTGCACAATGAAAGACAAATCGGGCGAAGATATATATGGGAGCTATATCTAAATTTTGATCGATTATCTCCAATTTCAATAGGGTTCGTCCATGGGCCAAACAAATGATTTGTGCAAAATTTCATCTGGATAGGACAATAAATGCGAACTGTACTTTGTTTACAAAAATACATGGACAGACGGACGGACATGCATAAATCGACTCAGAATGTGATTCTATGCAGATCATCAAAAGGAACTATGGGTCTATCTCGTTTCCTTTTGCCTGTTACAAACAAATGCACAAAGACATAATACCCTGACCACCTTGTGGTGTAGGGTATAATCAACATTTGGATTAACCTGAGAAATATTTTCAAAAAATCAACGATCGAAGTTCGGTTTAGGTTTTGAAAAATTGTTTAAAAAAAAGTAAAAAATCTGTAAGTTTGGCCGGGCCGAACTTCGAATACCCTCCACCATATGGAACGAATTTGGCAATTAAAAAAAAAAAATAAATAAAATCCGTTAAAAATTCTGTTAAAATCTTAAAAATACCGATTGTAGCCGTTACATTAGGGTTTATGCGACGTCGTGGACCCTCATAGACTTTTTTGTCAGAAGCCATTACAATATTCAAATGCGAAACTTGAAAAAATCGGTGAATCTAAAATAAAATCATCACAATACCGAATATAGGGAGGTACCATTAAATGGGGGCTATACCTAAACGTGGACCTGCACAGAGAATGTTTTGTTTTAGGCTGTACTATCCATTACGAACTGCAAATACCAAATTTGAAACATTTCCGGTAAATAATGTCGCTTAAATCACTTAAATGTCGAAATAAGGGAGGTACCATTATATGGGGGCTATACCAAAACGTGGACCTACATGACCCATTTTCAATACCAAAAGTCCTGCAGACACAACATTTTATCAACCTACCTCATTTCGTTCGGAAGCTAGAGTGATTTCCACAGACGGATAGACGGGATAGAATTTTATGCTGATCAAGAATATATATACTTTGTGGGTTCTAAAATGTATGTTTCGAGGTGTTAACGGAATGACAAACTTAATATACCCTCCATACTATGCTGGAGGGTATTACGAGAGGTATAACTATAGACAATTATTAACGTTTGTGGGAGAGTTTCCAGATCTTGTGTTAGCAAAAATATTGTCATATGTGAAATTTGAACAGAATCGGAGGTTTATTTTACATTTTATGAGCGTTTGTTATTTTAGACCTTTTGTGGGGAAGGTACCAAAAGGCGTGGACCTTTATATCCCATTTATACACCAGGTCTTGTGTCACAAAGCGTTTTATGATTTCAAAGGAATCAGATTGTCATTTCGCCTTGTCTAAGCTTCATCCGTTATTCAAAATATTAACGCGTTGTGGGGATGCTGCCAGAAGGATCTTTCGTTCTATCAATTATTCATACTAGATCTTGTGTTAGTTGAAATATTGATATGTGAAAACTTTGAGTCCGAGTTTCTTATTTTATAAGAGTTCTAGTTATTCAAAATGTTGATCCTTTGTGGGGGTGGTACCAGAAAGAGTAGGCCGATTTTACTCAGAAGTGACAAAAATATTAAGTATTCCACAATCTGAACAAAATTGGATGATCCTATCTTGTTCTATGCGGTAAATTATATTCTCCGAAATTGGAGATAACAAAAGGAGTGGACCGAAGTTTGACGACAATATTATGTTCCAAGTTGGGACCTAATCGAAAACCCCCCTCGAGGGTTATCATGCGTACCAGCCAGATAGCCATACAGACAGACGGACACCCCTTGATCGCCTCTAAATGTCCTGAATCGATTTTAATCTAAAGAGAGCCAGGGTCTTAATTCAAAGAGGCATGTTTTGTTCGTATCAAATTATATTTTCCCTCTGTAGCCGTATGGGGTATATGGGGAAAAAAGCAGGGTTTTATCTCTATTCGGGTATTGCAAAATTGAGAAAAATATTAAAGAAAACAACGTTTTTCTGTTAAGTTTTGGATCCGCTGTGTCCCGAAGACTATGATTAAAAAATACAGTTTGGTAAATCTCTTGTTGAGCGATTGAAGCTCTTGTGAGTCTTAAAAAAATATTTTCAAAAAATTCACTGAAATTAAGATTTGAAAAATTATTTTTAAACCATCCTCGATTGTGCCTTAAATAAATAGTATTCATTAGCAATTTTCGAAAAAAATATTGAATTTATTCCCAATTTCCTTTTCTGATTTTCTCTCTCTTTCTTTTACAGAACATCCGCTTGCTAACTTGTAAAGAATTGAAAAATTTATTAATCCTTCAAACGCTTTCGGAATTCTCCATTATCCCATTCCCACCACCAACCCGTCGCCCCCCCCCCAAGCAAATACCAAAATACCATCAAAGCAATTTCAATCAGAACCATACGGAGAAGGACGACGAACAACACAACACAAATTCAAAGCGGACAAACAACATTTGCTTGCCTTGTTTGGAAACTATTAACGGCACCCGAACACATCAAAGGACGAAATAGAAAATGCAAACTGCTGTCGATTGCAATGGCAGCAGCAGCATCAGCAATAGCACCACTACCACCATCACCACCACCATTGAAACGGAAACGGGAAATGGCGGAGAGACGATGACACAGCATATGCTGGTCCAGGCGACCGCCAATGGCAACAAGTGTCACGCCAGCACCAGCATCACCCCCACCACGGCCACCACAAACAACATCACCACCGATCATCATGCTCACGAAGTACCCATGGCTGTGCTACGGCATCGCATTACAACGGCTAACAGCAATGCCCATACCAGCCATGACCAAGTATCCAAAGTACCCAGAAATGGCCTAACACATCTTATAGATGCAAATGATTATTTGGGCACCGATTGCAAGTCGTTGTCGATGATGAACAGGTCTGTTTCGCCACAGCCATCGCCTTCCAAGACGGACAAAATCAGTTCGAAAGAATCGTCTTTGGGAGAGAAGTTTCAAATGAATACCTCATCAGCAATGCAACTGCAACCACCACCACCATCACCGCCGCCATCGCCCGGCTCGTCATCGTCATCATCGAAGACCACATCGAATTCCACATCAACGACATCGTCTGTGATTGCTACACCGATTTTAAGGCGTAACGGTAATGTTGTATTAAAGGAGCCTCCACAGATGGACGACAACAATAGTGCACCAATTGCTCAAGCGCCGGCAGCAGCGGCTGCGTCGGTCAATACCAAACGAATGGAGGCTGAGGGTGGGACAACATTTAGGGAACCACAACCACAACTGCAAGTGCAACCGCAACAATTAATAAAAAATCAAATGCTTCCACTTGAGAACACTTCCTTTGCTCTGGACTGCAAAAGGGAAATGTCTTCTGGTCCATCATTAGCGGCAACACCAACAACAACAACAACCAAAACAATGTCTTCATCAACTACCTCATCGTCAATTAATTCGAATGCCTCTTCTTCGTCAGCAGCAGCAGCATCAGGCTCAGCCTCGACAACAACAACATCTTCTTCCATTACACCACCACCCTCAGCCACAACACCCGCCTTACTTTCGCCGTCATCTTCCACTGCATCAACAACACCATCATCATCATCATCGCCAGCCTCCGGCGCCTCTTCCATTGCCTCCTCCACCGCCTCCTCGATGAAAGGCTTTTCCAATGTCGCCGACTTCGATGCCGAACTGTTGCAATGGCAGGACATGCCACAGTATCTGCAATTCAATCCGTACGTTCTCAAAGGTTACCGTCCACTACAAACATTCAAGGGCTGCCTTCTAAGTCTGTTCTACTGGCACAACGAAACGATTAACATTTTGACACACGGTAAGTAAAGATCGATGAATGGGATGAAGAAGAATTAACCGGAAATTAACAATCAACAATGAAATTGAAATCAATAATTGAGGGGGAGGGAGGGAGGGGTGTTAATCGGTTGAAGGTGATAACGAAATCGGAGTAGAAGCTCTTGGGTTTGTTGGATAAGGGAGTGGTGGATTTATCTATATCTATCTAAAAAAAAGTGATTCGAAATGTACTATTTTTAATTTGTAAATCAAATTCATGTCAATTGAAAGTTGAATTTCTCTAATTTGAAATTCGAAACCAAAAAAAAGAATATTTTGTTTGTGCAGGTATGGTATTTGCTTTTTCCAATCACGATTTGAATACATAAGATTTGAACTAAAATTCGAAAAATTTAAATTATTTAATTTTTGGATATTCAAAGAAAGGTGAAATAGCTTCAAATTCGCTCTTTAGAATTTGAAATTAAACGATTTGAATTGCGAATGGAATATTGGGTCATGGGGAAATTCTTACCAAAAACGGTATTAAGAATTGGTAAACACGATTCGAAAGTGAACTCGAAAGAAAAACAAACATTTCATTTTCAAGTGTAAACAAGTAAAGCTCAGCTCAGGAACTTGAAAATTAAAACAAAAAAACAAGTAAAAAAGCCTCAAGTTCGGCCGAACTTTGAATAGCCTCCACCATTTGGAACGAATTTGGCAGTTTTCAAGGAGGTGCCGTTATATGGGGGCTACACGAAGACGTGGACCTGCACAGACAATTTACTGTCATAGGCTGTAGTATCCATTCCGAACTTCAAATCCCAAATTTGAAACAATTCCGGTGAATAATGTCGATAAAATCATCAAAATACCGAATATCAGGAGATACCGTTATATGGAGCCTATACGAAGACGTGGACCTGCACAGACAATTTTCTGTCATTGGCTGTAGTATCCGTTTCGAACTTCAACTACTAAGTTTGTAAATCATCAAAATACCGAATATCGGGAGGAACCGTTATATTGGTGCTATACTAAAACTTGGACCTACTTGGTATTGAAAATGGGCCATATTTTCAATACCAAAAGTCCTGCACACATAATATACATTTGAGTAAAAGTTATCAATCTACTTCATTTCGTTCGGAAGCTAGAGTGATTTCCACAGACGGATAGATGGACAGACAGACATAGAATTTTATGCTGATCAAGAATATATACAGGGTGAGATAAAAAAACAGCAACAAAGTCATACATTTTTTTTTTAAATTTTATTGATTAAAAGCAAAAAAATATCGGAAATAACATCAAATTTTAGAATAAGTTTAGGTTGGTCACATTTGGCATGATATATGGCTTTCAAACGGCCAATGTAACCGTCACACGCTGCCCGAATGTTGCTCTGTGGTATTTTGGTCCATTCCAGGCGAAGCGTTTGCTTGAGGTGATCGACATTTTGGTATTTTTTAGTGCCAACTTTGCTTTCCAAAATACTCGAAACACAATGGTCCAACGGATTGGTAGCCGGAGATTTGGGTGGCCAGTGTGCGCTGGAAATGAAGCGAGGAGCCTCATTTTGTGGCCATTCTTGGGTGGCGCGTGCTGAGTGCGATGGTGCTGAGTCTAGTTGGCATGTCCAAGGTCAGCGGCCAAAATGGTTGCGTGCCCAATGCTTTAATACACCCTCCAGAATATTTTCGCGATAATATTCGGAATTTCTTCTGACATATAATACGATCGGGGAGCGACCATCGGCTGTTATGGCGGCCCACACAATCACCATGACCGGCGCTTGAGTTATAGTGGCCAACTGAAGGTGTACATTTTCAGCTGAACTCTTTGGCAAGTACACACGATTATTTTGTTTGTTTACAAACAGCTGGACAACGAATGTTTTCTCATCGGAGAAAACCAAATTCGGCAGTTCACCACTTTCGGCCAAGCGAATGCATGCATGCATGACCGCCCGTCCGTCTGTCCATGTACTTTTGTAAACAAAGTACAGGTCGCATGTATTGCCCGATCCAGATGAAATTTTTGCACAGATCATTTGTTTGGCCCAAGGACGAACCCTATTGGAGATAATCGGTCAAAATTTAGATATAGCTCCCATATATATCTTCATCCGATTTACCTTTTATTGTGCATCAAACGTGTAATATCAGCCCGAATTATATGGAATTTTGCATATACACCCAAATTAGGCCTGAAAATATGTATGCCAAATTTGATCGAAATCGGTTCAGATATAGCTATAGCACCCATATATATTGTACATCCGATTTGTTATTTTTGTCCACCGCCGCCGTAATATGCACTCTGCAACAACAATATTTGGGGAAATATATCAAATACAGCTCAGAAATACATTTGCTAAATTTTATCGAAATCGGTTCAGATTTGGATATACCTCCCATATATAACTTCGTCCGATTTACCTTTTATTGTGCACCAAACGTCTAATATTTGTCCAAGTCTAGAAGCTAGTATGTCAAATTTGGTGAAGATCGGTTCAGATATAGCTATAGCTTCCATATATATTATTCATCCGATTTGTTATATTTGTTACCCACAACCGTAATATGCACTCCGTAACAACGATATTCAGGGAAATGTATCAAATACAGCTCAGAAATATCTTTGCCAAATTTTACCGAGATCGGTTCAGATTTGGATATAGCTCCCATATATATCTTTATCCGATTTCAAATTAATTGTGCACCAAATGGACAATACAATTCCGAATTTAAAAGATACAAATGATTCGGCATATTTAGTCCTTTGAACTTTAAATTATAATCATAGCGTGTATGATTGAATTCTCTTATAAAAACTTTTAATTGTTATGTGGAGCTCTACTAAATTAGCACAGTGGTGTAGGGTATCATAAAGTCGGCCCCGCCCGACTATAAGACTTTCTTTACTGGTTTACTTGTTCTTTTATGGGAACAATCGGCTTTGTTGTGAGACTCGTTCAATTATTGATTGATAAATGTGTTATGGCCCATTATCTTTCCTACATACCTTGTTGTGTATTATCATTCCTTTCTCCAATAAAGGATACGTTGTTTTTTCCCTTTTCTTGAAGTATACGATTTTATTAAATAACTTATTTACAAAAATTCTTCTTAAGTATAGAAACCCTAAAATATTTGACATTTTCTCCATGGATTCATTAGACTGTCAATGGGGCATTTGAATACTGTGGAAAATTCCATCAAGTTCGCCAACGAATCAATGACACGAACATCATATGGGATATGGCCCTGATGATGGAGTCGTCGGCGACTATTCAATTTCCAACCAGAACACCACATTTGGACGTAGTGTATGAAAAATAATTGTTTATGATTATAACGTAAGCGGGAATAGGTTTCCATGGTAACTGTTGAGTGATTACCTCTATTTTTGTCATACCATTGCAAATAAGCCACGTAGGATAAGTGGAGGCCACCATTATCTATTATAGATTCAATTTGACCCGCTGTCAGAGGTGGTGGTGACTGATTGTCAGTTATGATTTCCAAGCATTGCAAAATTTGGAGCATGGGAGAGGAGGGGGAGGAGAGAGATCCATTTTGTTGCCTATATTCGGCACGTAAAAGGTCACGTATTAATTCACGTGCCATAAGAGTACCCACTTTGGCGAAATTATGGGCCTTTGGAACATAGGGGGACCAAAGATGGTGGGAGGAAAGTAATTGCTGTGGTATTGACATTTTGTGGATTAAATCAGGGACATTGTTGGGGTAAGGGATTTGTGGCTGAATTTTGTTCAACTTGTGTCTCATTAACTTTTGGAGATTTTTCAAAAAATCATTTGGATCCAAATCAAGATTTTCATAATCAGGTTGCTGCTCATTGTGCTCTCCTAGTTCAATTTTTATGTTTTCCAATTTATCAAGGGGATACTGCCATTGAGTTTTTTGGTTTTGAATTTTTCGAAGAAATATCTCTATTATGCGTTGCCACATTTCTTGAATGTCCTCCTCCATTTGAGGGCTATGATATTGGCGATAAATCATATTCTGCACTGTGTGGGGAAAATATTCCTGGACTTTTGTGAGACACAATGTTTGCTGGGTATCGGGGTCCCAGAATTTTTCCATGAAAAAATTCTCCAAGAGTTTGTAGAAAATATAATTTGCCACCACATGGGAGGGAGTGGTGGCCAAAACTCTCTGCAGATTTTGTAGATAAGGTTCGTCTTCATAGACAATAGTTTCAGGGGAAATGTCAAGGGTCTCAAATCCCCGTCCATATTTAAGCTGTAACTTCTCTAATGTTGTTGACTTATATTTTCCTTTTAAGTTCCCCTCTTTAAGGCCTCTGGCTAAACTAACTTCAAAATCAAGCAAGTCCCTGGCATATTTTAAGGCCTCCTCGGTGGGTATATATAAATAAACGATTAAATTATAGGCCATAATAAATAAATATTTTTGGCGATAACTTTCAAATGTATCCTCCATATAAATGGATTTGGAGACAAGCTTAAAATCTGGACAGCCCACAATAAATTTTGGAACTGGCACATCCCTTGAGGCTGGTAGCAAGGATATTCCGAACAAAATTTCCACAGAGTATTTGTTATAGATTTCCATAGCCACTTTGAGCCAATCAAATTTTCTATCCTCTGCTTCCACCTTCTCCAACATGGGCATTTCTCCAAATTCCTTGGGTATGCCCCTTAAGGATAACAAGTAGTCCTGCCACCCGTCAGGCAAATTCAAACAGGATTTATAAAATATTTTTGCCATATTTTCTTTCTTTGTATGATTTTCCGAATTGGACAGCAATACATATTTCATTTGTTCTACAACTTCCATTTCTATTTTTTGTAAAACTCCTTCCATTTCCGGCTGTCCATTACTGCGATGATAGCTTTCCCAATGGCCACAGGCAAATTCATAAAAATTCTTACAAGGATTTGTTGAGGCATTCATGTAACTCAGGATTTCTAATGATTTTGCATTTCGTAGAAATTCAGCTGCTGCACTCAAAGGTCCTTCTTGTTGGAGCGCCTGACTTAGGGTCATGCTGAGGAAATTAAATATTATCCAGCTCCGTATAATACATTGCACCATATTTTGTTTCGATTTTTTTCTTATTTGAAATATCCGTTAAATTGTTGTTGTTGTTGCCGTTTTTGTTATTGTTATTTGGTGTGTATGCGTTTTCCAGCGATGCTAATATTTCGACATTGCGTTCTCGCCCGCTAAATGGCTACTGATAAGAACTTGCAAAAATTGAACTAGTCTTTTTTTAGTTTTCTATTTGATTTATTTCTGAGTTTTCTGTTTGAAATAGTGGCCATGGTCTCGTTTTGAGTTTTATTAGAAGTTGGCATAATCTTCTCATCAACATACGAGGGTCATATGATGATGAAAATGAATAAATTGGAAATCATTAATTAATTAGAGCAACATCTATGCATACTGCTGCAGATAGTTCGACGTAAGATTACACGGTGCAAAAAAAAAATAAAGAAAAAGAAGGCTATAGATTATAAAATTAGAGCTAAAAAGAGAAGTCACATTTAGCGGCGCTTAAAAAATTTACATCGCAAAGAAACATTAAAAAAGGTTTTCGAATTTTTCGGATTAAAATTCCTTGCAATGCCTTTTAGGTAAATAGAGTCTTGGGAAATAGTATTGATTGCAAGGCAAAATTTCCAAAGACCCTATGTTACATGCATGCTCTCATTTCGAATTTCAGAATTCTAACTCATACATTCTCGTACCCTTTTAATACGAATATTCAAAAACCAAGCCTTATCACACACCTACACACCAAAACTAACCAGGATTCTAGCTTCTATTCGCTATAGTGTCTTAGCCTCTAACAAACGTAATATGCACTCTAAAACAATGACATTTGGTACTAGATGTCAGGTGAAGTCAAAATTTTATAAAGATGTGTTCAGATTTGAATATAGCTCCCATATTTATCTTCTTTTATTGCGAACCATATTAGAAAAATTTGTCCAAATAGGATGGATTTCGGCACATCCGACCAAACTCAGTACAGAAGCAAGTATTTCCAAGTTGGTGAAAATCGCTTCAGATATACACGTTTCATCCGCAGAGCAAGATTCGGGCAGCGTGTGACGGTTTCATTGGCCGTTTGAAGGCCATAATTAGTGCCAAATGTCGGAAATAGCATCAAATTTTAGAATAAGAATTGGCAGCCTTTGGCACGAATTATGGCCTTCAACCGGCAAATGAAATCGTCACACGCTGGCCCAATGTCGCTCTGCGGTATTTTGGCACATTCCCGGCGAAGCGCTTGCTTGAGGTGATCGACACTTTGGTATTTTTTAGTGCCAACCTTGCTTTCCAAAATACTCCAGACACAATAGTCCAACGGATTGGTGTCCGGAGTTTTTGGTGGCCATTGTGCGCTGGAAATGAAGCGAGGAACCTAATTTCGTAACCATTCTTGGGTGGCGTGTGCTGAGTGCGATGGTGCTGAGACCTATTGAAATGTTCAAGGTTTGCGGCTAAAATATTTGCGTTGCCAAGGCTTTAATACACCATCCAGGATATTTTCGCGATAATATTCGGCATTTATTGTGATGCCACGGTCGATTAATACGAGCGGAGAGCGACCATCGGCTGTTATTGCGGCCCACACAATCACCATGACCGGCGCTTGAGTTCTAGTGGCCAACCGAAGGTGCACATTTTCAGCTGACCTCTTTGGCAAGTAAACACGTTAATTTGGTTATTTACAAACTGTTGGACAACGAATGTTTTCTCATCGGAAAAAACCAAATTCGGCAGTTCACCACTCTCGGCCAAGCGAAGCAACTCTTTAGCTCTTTCGAGTCTATTTTCTTTCCGTTGCGGTGTAAGTTCTTGCACTTTTTGGAATTTCAATGGCTTTACCCCGAGCTCATTTTTCATTATTTGCCGAAAGGAATATTGCGATATGTTCTGCTCATGAGCCATTTTTCGGCCACTGCAACGCGGGTCTCGATCAAGTCGCTTCTTTACTTTTCGAACCATTTCTGCTGATGTTGCTGTTTTTTTCCGTCCACTTCCTTTATCTCAGGCTACGCTAGTATAGTATCAGTATCATTTTAACGAGAGATGGTACGAGACACAAAACATTTATTCACATATAAATGCTGGAGTGCTCTAACGATAGCCACTTGTGATTTTCCAGCCAAATATAAAGAAATCACACTATCACGCTTGGAGTTCATCACGAATAACTTTTTTTTTCTGGAAAATTCTCACCAAAAGCTATTGTACGCTTGTAAACATTACAATGAGCTGTCACTGGAATAATTTTAGCAGCTGTCGGACGGGTGGCCTGGAAATGACAACAGTTGGATGTTGGATGCAGTTTTTTCATCTCACCCTGTATATTCTTGATCAGCATAAAAATCTGTGTCGATTTAGCGATGTTCGTCCGTCTGTGGAAATTATCTACCCTTCCAACGAAATGAAGTAGATTGATAACATTTTATTTAAATGTGTTATGTCTGCAAGACTTTTGGTATTGAAAATGGGTCGTGTATATCCACGTTTTGGTATAGTCCCCATATAATAGTACCTCCCTTTTTCGGTATTTTGATGATTAAAGCGACATCGGAAATGTTTCATATTTGGAATTTGAAGTGAGTAATGAATATTACAGCCTAAGACAGAAAATTGTCTGTACAGGTCCACGTCTTCGTATAGCCCCCATATAACAGTACATCCCGACATTCAGTATTTTCATGATTTTAGCGACGTTATTCACCGGAATTGTTTCAAATTTGGTATTTGAAATTCGTAATGGATACTACAGTCTATGGCAGAAAATTGTCTGTGCAGGTCCACCTCTTCGTATAGCCCCCATATAAAGGTACCTTATATTCGGTATTTTCATGACTTAAGCTACATTATTCACCGATTTTTTTCAAGTTCCGCATTTGAATATTCTAATGGCTTATAACAAAAGTGGCCTATGCAGGTCCACGTCGTCGTATAGACCCCAATATAACAGCTATATTCGGTAATTTTAAAATTTTAACTTAATTTTTACGGATTTTATTTAATTTTTTTATTTTTTTTGAAAAATGCCATATTCGTTCTAAATGGTGGAGGGCATTCAAATATCGGCCTGGTCGAACTTACAGCGTTTTTACTTGTTCAAAACAAAATTTGGCCGAATCCTATTTAAATTGTTTAGAATCAGGCCACTTTTAGATATATCTCCCATATATAACTCTTTGTCCGATTTCAATTTTATTGGGCGCCATATATGTAATATTCATCCAAATAAGATGTGTTTAAGAACATACGACTGAATTCATGTTGGAACCAGGTACTTCAAATTTAGTTAAGATATGGCTATACCTCCTGTTTTGATGTTTAAGAAATTTAATACCAGATTTCAGACACAGCCCAAAAATACCTTTGCCAAATTTTATTGATATCGATTCAGATTTGGATATAGCTGCCAAATATATCTTCATCTGATATCGCGGTTATTGTGCACCAAATATGTAATATCGTGAGAATTTTTTCACATTTAAGCGAATTTTCCATTTGGTGAAACTCGGTTTTCATATGAAACTCGGTTTTCATATATCTACTGATGCGATATATATTATCTACTGATCCGATATATATTATTTCAATATAATCGTTTTAATATATCAACTAACATTATCCACCGATTTTTTTCAAGTTTCGCATTTGAATATTCTAATGGTTTATGACAAAAGTTGCCTATGCAGGTCCACGTCGTCGTATAGACCTCAATATAACGGCTATATTCGTTAATTTTAAAATTTTAACTTAATTTTTACGGATTTTTTTATTTTTATTATTATTATTATTATTTTTTTTTTTGAAATTGCCAAATTCGTTCTAAATGGAGGAGGGCATTCAAATATCGGCCTGGTCGAACTTACAGCACTTTTACTTGTTCAAAACAAAATTTGGCCGAATCCTATTTAAATTGTTTAGAATCAGTCCACTTTTATATAAATCTCCCATATATAACTCTTTGTCCGATTTCAATTTTATTGGGCGCCAAATGTGTAATATTCATCCAAATACCACCGAATTCATGTTGGAACCAGGTTTTTCAAATTTAGTTAGAATCGGTTAAGATATGGCTATACCTCCCATATATATGTTTCAACCGTTTTGATGTATAAGAAATTTAATACCAGATTTCAGACACAGCCCAAAAATACCTTTGCCAAATTTTATTGATATCGATTCAGATTTGGAGATAGCTGCCAAATATATCTTTATCTGATATCGCGGTTATTGTGCACCAAATATGTAATATCGTGTGAATTTGTTCACATTTAAGCGAATTTTCCATTTGGGGAAAAAGTCGGTTTTCATATATCTACTGATGCGATATATATTATCTACTGATCCGATATATATTATTTTAATAAAATCGTTTTAATATATCAACTAATCCGCTATATATACTTTTTAATACAATCATTTTCAATGCATGATATTTAAACAAAAAAATAAAAACCAATTTAAACAAAATTGTCAAATTCCAACCCACTGTGCGACACCTTGCTAACTTTTAGTTCATATGCGATTAAATTTTCATTCTAATATGTAATTCAAACAAATCTTCTAAAAACTCTCAGTCTGATATGTTTTAGCTTCTTTTTTATGGTTACTTATTAATTATGGCCTCTGTAGCTTTTTTTTTCAAAAAAAAAAAAAAAGCACAAAATATTGAAAAATTTATCTCCCTTCTAAGCCGACGCAATGACCGAAAATTACCTAGGCCAATATATTGGCATTGCTTCCAGTAGAACTCCGATGTGATAAACTATGACCTCTTTCGTTTTCACAATTTGTCTACCACAGTGAATTGAATTCAGTTTTGCTTTTAACTTTTGTGTGTTTGGTTGTGTTTCTCTCTAAATCGCAGCAGCTGAAATGCTTTGGATCAACGCCATAAGCAATTTCCTAGTGCTGTGGATTGTATTTGGTTTTGTGGAATTTTCACAGGGTTTCCCATTTTTGAACATCACTGTTGCCCTCAAGTATTTGGAGTTTCGAACGTATTTGAATGCATCGGTGGATCCATGTGATAATTTCTACGAATTTGCCTGTGGCAGTTGGCCAGAATATCATCCCACCAGTGAAGATGATACGAGTGTCAGCTATTTTGAAATCATGGAAGAAGCTTTTGATGGTAAAGTAAGGGAACTCCTCAACTCGAGGGATGATGGTATGGAGACGCTGGCTGAGAGAAAAGTGAAAAGTTTTTATAGATCATGTCTCGCCTTGCCGTATCTTTCGCTGGAGTATAATGACAGGCTGAGATCACTGATTTCGGAATTTGGCCAAATGCCAGCAGTGGCGGGGGTGGTGAGTGATAAATGGCCGGGAGAGCGGGAGTTCGAATGGCAACAGGTGGTTGCCAACATACAGAAAAAGTATTCCATAAATATTTTGCTTGGCGTTGGCATCAACACCGATTTCTATGACAACCAAATGAAAGTTCTGTTCTTATCTTCGGGTGACTGGATGTTGGAGGAGAGGGTGTCATATTTCAGTCCAGAATTCCAAGAGTTACGGGATAGTGCCATCAATGCCGTAGCCTCTAATCTCGTGAATTTTTTGGACATAGAGTCCCCAGAGGCTAGAAAAGTAGCCAAGGAAATTTTCAATTTTGAACGGGAATTGGCCAGAGGTCTTAGTGAAGAGGGTCTAAAGCCCATGGAAATGCTAACAGTAACCACTGTGGACCAAGTGCACAGCAAGTACTGGCCACACTTGGATATACGCAAATTACTAATGTCGATTTTTGGCACAGTGCCACATCTAAGAGTCTGGGAACATCATGGCTATTTGGAAAATTTGGTGCAAGTCATGTCCCAAACACCCAAACGCATTGTGGCCAATTATATTTTCTACAAATTCATTGGTGAATTCATCTTTAGCAGCTATGTCGAGAAGAGGGAACAGGAGACCTATTGTGTTGGTCGAATTAAGGAATTTTTTCCAACCAATTTGGAAAATATGGTCTATCGCCGCTATAAAAGTCCCCAAACTGAAAGGGACCTCAGAAAAATGTGGCAATATCTAAAAATGGCCTTTGAGGATGTGCTTCGTTCGGGACAACTCGATTGGATGAGCAAAGAGACACGTCGCTATGCCTTGGTTAAGCTTCGCCATATGCGTCTAGAAATTCCAGCTCTTCGACCTGAACTAAGCGATGAAGATGCCGAATCTTTGACATTAAACGACAACGATTTCATTGAGAACCTAAAGGCATTGAAAATGTTTACAGCTACCAGTGAAATCAAGAAGCTGTCAAGGCCCCTAACAGCCATGGATGATATACCCACGGACACCTATTCGCCACAAAATGCAATAATGTTTAACATTATTACCGTGCCGGTGGCTCTATTGCAAAACTATTACATTATCGGTGAAGGCATACCCAAGGTCTTGATGTTTGCAAAACTGGGTAGCGTTTTATCCCACGAACTGCTGCATGGCTTCGATGATGATGGCCGATTCTATGATAAACGTGGCAATTTCCGTGACTGGTGGGACTCAAGATCTGCAAAAAAATTTGAGGCCCTAAAAGAATGTTTTGCCCAGCAATATGCCTCGTACATTTATGCCGACCAACCGCTGCATCGGCCACCCTCACAGGCTGAAAATATTGCCGATAATGGGGCGATACGTCTGGCCTACAGGGCCTATCTCAAATGGTTGGCAGCGGAACGTGGACGATATCATGACACGGCTTGGAAAATACTGGGAGGTTTCAACTACACATTGCGACAAGCGTTCTTTATTGGCTACGCCCAGCTGTGGTGTGACAATGTCGATCCAAAACATAAAATCTTGAATACCCTCACCGATCCTCATGCTCCAGCCGAGGCAAGAGTTATGTTAACACTGCAAAATCTTGATGAATTTTCCGAAGTGTTTCGATGTCCAGCGGGCAGTGTTATGAATCGAGGGAACAAATGTAAAATTTATTGAAATAATAACAAATGGTGATATTTTTAATAAATAATTCAAAATTTCTATTCCAAAATATGAACTTGTTAACATACGGCACGTGCTTAAGGCTAGTTTACACATCATGTTTGGGGTCATACGTAAAACGAATATTTCTCATACACTTTAAGCATGTGTGAGGCAAGCATTTAATAGTAGACTTAGCCCGATTGTTCTGAGACTCTCTTATGACATTTTTCACATTTAAAAGATTTTTTCAAGATCGGTTCAGATTTGGATATAGCTCCCATATATATCCTCAACCGATTTCGAGTTAATTGTGCACCAAATCTCAGTCTAAATGACCTGAATTTTGGCATATCCGACCGAATTGAGACTAGAAACAAATTCATTATATTCGGAGAAAATCGGTTCAGATATAGCTGTAGCTCTCATATATGTTTCATCTGATTTGGTGTTTACGTCCCTCACTTTCGTAATATGCATTCGACAACAAGGATATTTGCTACCAGTTATCATGTGCAGCCCAGAAATACCTCTGCCAAATTTTATCGAAATCGGTTCAGATTTCAATATAGCTACCATATACACAGGTTGAGATGAAAAAACTGCAACAAATTCTAGACAGCTGTCTTTGTAAAGTCACTCGCCCTACAGATGTTGAAATTATTCCAGTGACAGCATATTATATTGTTTACAAGTGTACAAAAGCATTTTAGAGAGAATTTTCCAGAAAATAGTTATTCGTGATGGAATTAGATCGTGATAGTGTGATTTCTTTATAGTTGAATGGAAAACCACAAGTTTCTATCGTTAGAGCACTCCAGAATTTAAATGCGTATAAATCTTTTGTGTCTCTAATAGGTAGCGTAGCCCGACGTCAAGGAAGTGGATGGAAGAAAAATTCAACATCAGCAGAAATGGTTCGAAAATTAAAGAAGGGACTAGATCGAAACCCGGGTCGCAGTGGCCAAAAAATGGCTCGTATGATGAACATATCAAAATATTCCATTCAGCAAATATTGAAAAATGTGCTCGGGGTAAAGCCATTGAAATTCCAAAAAGTGCAAGAACTTATATCGCAACAGAAAGCAAATAAACTCAAAAGAGCTAAAGAGTTTCTTCGCTTGGCCGAAAGTGGTGAACTGCCGAATTTGTTTTTCTCCAATTAAAAAACATTCGCTGTCCAGCAGTTTGTAAACAAAAAAAAAAAAAACTTGCCAAAGAAGTCAGGTGATGGTGTGGGCCGCTATAACAGCCGATGGTCACTCTCCGCTCGTATTAATCGACCGTGGCATCAGAATAAATGCAGAATATTATCGCGAAAATATTCTGGAGGGTATATTAAAGCCTTGGGCACGCAAACATTTTGGACGCAGACCTTGGACATTCCAAAAGGACTCAGCACTCGCCACCCAAGAATGGCTACAAAATTAGGTTTCTCGCTTCATTTCCAGCGCACAATGGCCACCAAAATCTCTGGATACCAATCGGTTGAAGCATTTTGAAAAGCAATATTGGCACTAAAAAATATCAAAGTGTCGATCACCTCAAGCAAGCGCTTCGCCGGGAATGGGCCAAAATACCGCCGAGCAACATTCGGGCGGGGGTGTGACGTTTTCATTGGCCGTTTGAAGGCCATAACTCGTCCCAAAGGTGACCAATTCGAACAAATCGAAACATATTTTAAAATTTTTTGCTACTTTTTTGTAAAAATTATGGCGTATGACTTTGTTGCGGTTTTTTTATCTCACCCTGTATATCTTTAACCGATTTCGGCTTAATTGAGCACCAAATGGACAATATCAGTCCAAAAGTCCTGTGTTTTGGTATATCCGACTGAATTCAGTCTAGAAGCAAGTACATCGAATTCTTAGAAAATCGGTTTAGATATAGCTACAGTTCCTACATATATGTTTTTTCCGATGTGGTGTTTAAGTTCCTCACATTCGTAATATGTATTCGACAACAATGATATTTGGTGCCAGCTATCTTATAGAGCTCGGAAATACCTCTGTCAATTTTTATAAAGATTAGATCAGATTTGGCTATAGCTGTCATACATATCTTTAATCCGATTTAAGATTTATTGTGCAAATAATGGCTAATATCAGTCAAAATGGAGTGAATTTCGGGACGTACGTTTCCATTTTGTGGAACTTGGCGCCAATCCTTCTCGAAGTGATATCATTCACTCTATAGCAATATTTTTTTTTTTTTTTTTTTGGTATAAAAGATTAAAATGTCTCCGTCAAATTTAGTGAAAATCGATTCAGAAATGGATATGCTTTCCATATATCAGTTCGCTCTGTGACCAAACTATAAGTGGTCTAAAGCCAAATGTTGATAAGTGGTACGATCTACTTCAAATAAGTTATTTTGTTAAAGGAGCTCTACCTTGTTTAGGGCATGGAAAGCAGTGTAGGGTATCATATAGTCGGCCCCGACCGACTTTTGACTTTTCCTTACTTTTTTTTAAAAAAATATTTCTAAAATAATTTTTTTAATCCTCATGAGTCACTTGTATCATTTCATTCACTTTAAAATAAACTTGGAAAACATTATCGCTTCTTCTGTTTTTATTATTAAATTATATTTCTGTTTCATTACCACAAATATTTATTTTTTTATTTTCAATTCTCGTTCTTCTATTCACACTACTCTACTTGATATCATAATTTATTATATCTGCAAAGAAAAAAAAGTTAAATATTTAAACAATTCCAAAACAGTACTCCACTTATAACTCACCTCTTGAGATCTTAAATTTCATTCACATTTTTTCAATAAATTTCACATTTATTGGCCCGATTCATATTGCTATCGACCGGACAATTGAATTCCTTGGCAAATTCTTCAAAATTCGACAATGGACCGATGACACGATATTTCCCCGGAACATGTAGATCTGTGCTGGTTTGCAAATTTTTCACCACCGGATGAACATCACTGCACCACATCTGGGCATAGCTGATGAAGAACAGCTGCTTGCCCGAGTATTTGAGGCGTGGCAAGGATTCAACGGGTAGCATGCCCAACGAACGGGCAGCATCTTCGTACCAACGTAAATAGGCGGCATAAGCTAGACGCACTCCTCCATTGTCGGCAATGTTTTCCGACTGCGATGCCATTTCGGGTAACTTACGGCCATTGTAGGTATAATTTTTGTATTGCAGAATGAAACAGTTGGTGCGATTTTTGAAATGCTCCGTGGAGGTGGCATCCCACCAATTATGGCTATTGCCGGACTTATCAAAATTTCGCCCCGTATCATCAAAGCCATGGATGAGTTCATGTGATATCAGGGAGCCCAGGGTGCCGTATTGTACCGCCTTGGGATAGAGATTGGACCAGACGTAGTAGGGTTGTAGCAGCGATATGGGTACCTTGATTTTATTCTCCACAATAATGTTGGCCGGCGTAAAGGACAAAATCTCCCCAGCCTCCAGGGCGGATGGGGGTTCGTTGAGTTTTTGGCGGACGTTCTTCACACTCAACATCATGGCCGCCTTGAGATTTTCCAGAAAATCGGCTCGGCTCAACTGCAGTCCTCCCAATTCCGCTGTGAAATTCCTTTCCTCATAGGAATTTATTTCCAATTGCATGGCTTTTAGCTTTTCAATGGCATACGAACGGGTCTCTTCACCAATCCAATTCAACCTCTCGGAAAGCAGAGTTTGTTCAAAGGTGGTCTGGATTTCGTGCCACATAAAATCAATCCCCTCTCTGGTGTTGTTGTTGTCATTGAGGCGTCTATAGACCATGTTGTCTAGATTTTTGGCAAAATACCGCTTGGTTCTGCTAATGCATTTCGTTTGTAGCTCCGACTGGCCACGCGGCACCTTGACCATGAAATGCTCCAAGAAATTATAGAAAATATAATTTGCCACCACACGGCGTGGTGTGGTCTTTATAAGTTCTATGAGATTAGCCTGATAATCCTCGGCCATTTCATAGACCTTGTCCTGGGGTACATAGCCCAGGGAGATATTTATGTAACGACGAAGATCCAAATCGTTGCCATATTTTGCGGCCAGCTCATCCATTGTTGTTAAATGGGTAATATCAGTCACCTGGAGCCCTGCGGTGGCATCAATCATGCCCTTGGCCAAGCCCACTTCGAATTCCAGCAGTTCTTTGGCAGTTACCTCAGCCAATTCCTGAGGCAGCCTTAGGAAGCGTTGCAAGTTTTTGGCCATTTTACTTTGATAACCCTCACGGTAGATGGCATTATTCTCATCCAAATACATGGACTTTGATTCCAGGGGCAGACCACGGTAACCAATGTACAGACGATTCTTGGTGGTATCCGAAAAGTCCACCATAATATCATAGCCGAGGATAATGTGTATGCCATACTTATAGGCCATTTCGCTGACAACCTTCAGCCAATCGAAATCGTGGCGATTCCATTTGTCGCCCATCAGCACAGGCATTTCCCCAAACTCCGCCGAAATTTCCAGCAATTTCTCTCTGTACACATCCTTGAGCGACGACAGATTCATGCAAGAATCGAAAAAGATTTTCACTTTTTTATCCACCTCCGTGTCGTATTTACCCATGTCGTCATTTGTCAAAACATCAGCTATTTTGCGATTCAATGCCTGCAGCACCGTTTCAAAGAACCCAGTTGAGGCATGTTCCAAGGTATTGGCTGGATGAAAACGATTCCATTTACCACAGGCAAAATTATAGAAATTATTGCAGGGATCCACGGATTCATCCATTAAATTACGTATTTCGGCCGCCTTGGAGTAGCGCACAATTTCATGGCCAAACGGACTGTCCAAGTCTGAGTTTGGAGCATTCAAAGGCCCAGAGTGGCCGCTCCACGGCCATGATATTAGACACAAAAATATTGGAAACAATTTGAGCATTTGATTTGTTCTTTATGCCGCGATTTCAATATTACAACTGACCCAACACGAATCCTCCCTTTCAGTATTTTCTTTTTATCAACGAGACGCATACCCACTGAGGGATATGCGATAACCTTATCTTCTCTCAACCGCAGTCGTTATTTACACTCTCTCACACGAGTCTTAAGAGAAATCTACGTTTATTGTTTTTTTTTTTTTTTTTTTTTTTTTTTTGAAAAAAAAAAAAAACAATATTCTCTTGTTCATAAATAAATGTATTCAAATACTGCAAAATTTATTTATTTAGTTTTCAATACAAATAGAAGCGATAATTTCCTCTCTTAGTAGATGATTACATACATGATTAGCTAGCCTTTGTTTAGCATGTTGTACTGTGGTTTCAAATGTTTTGGAAGCTAAAACAAATCTTTAAATGGGATTTAAAAAATCTTTTTTATGAGTGAACAGTGCTACAAACGTCGGTTAATTAAAATATATATTTTTTTTTTTTTTAATACGGAAACATTTTTAAAACAAATTTGTTTTATATCCAAATACTGTTATAAGCTTGAATTTTAATACTAAATATTTTTCCAATACACGAACAGTGCCTCAATTTGATGTTTAAAAACAAGTAAAAAAGCTGTAATCCACCATTTGGTACAAATTTGGCAATTTCCAAAAAAAAAAAAAAATAAAATCCGTTTAAAATTCTGTTAAAATCTTAAAAATACCGAATGCCTATACGACGACGTAGACCTGCATAGGCAAATTTTGTCATAAGTTACTACAATATTTAAATGCGAAACTTGAAGAAAAATCAGTTTATAATGTAGCTAAAATCATCAAAATACCGAATATAGGGGGTACCGTTATATAGGGGCTATACGAAGGCGTGGACCTGCACAGACAATTTTCTGGCATTGGCTGAAGTATCCATTACGAACTTCACATGCGAAATTTGAAACAATCCCGAAAAATAATGTCGCTAAAATCATCAAAATACCGAATATCGGGGGGTACGGTATATGGGGGCTATATGAAAACCTGGACCTACATGGCCCATTTTCTGTTTTATGTTGCAGTATCTATTACGAACTTCAAATACCAAATTTGGAACGATTCCGTTAAATAATGTCGCTAAAATCGTCAAAATACCGAATATCGGGGGCTATGGGGGCTATATGACGACGTCGACCTACATGGCTCATTTTTTGACTTAGGATGTAGTATAAATTACGAACTTTAAATACCAAATTTGAAACGATTCCAGTAAATAATGTCGTTAAAGTCATCAAAATACCGAATATCGGGGGGTACCGTTATATGGGGGCTATACGAAGACGTGGACCTGTACAAATAATTTTCTGTCTTAAGCTGTAGTATTCATTACGAACTTCAAATGCCAAATTGGAAGCAATTCCGGTGAATAATGTCGCTAAAATCATCAAAATACCGAATATCGGGAGGTACCGTTATATGGGGGCTATATGATAACTTGGACCTACATGGCCCATTTACGAACTTAACCTGCCTACTGGCAAAATATACATGTGTGCAAAATTTTAGCCTTCTATCTCAATTTGTTCGAAATATAGCGTGATTACAACAGACAGACACACAGACAGACGGACAGACAGACAGACGGCCATGGCTAAATCGTCTTAGAATTTTACGCTGATCAAGAATATATATACTTTTTTGGGTCTTACATGAGAATTTCGAGGAGTTACAAACGGAATGACAAAATTAATATACCCTCCATAGTATGGTGGAGGGTATAATAATCCTTCAACACCCGAACCGAGCTACAAACGTTTGTTTTTTAAAAATTTTTTCAATACCCGAATTTTTAACAAAATTTCGGATTAAGGATATATATGTGAGGGACTTACACACCAACTCGGACGAAACATATATATGGGAGCTGCAGCTATATCTCAACCGATTTTCTCCAAATTATGGCGTTTTCTGACGCCATATTTTTCACATTTTTTTTAATTTATTGAATGAAACTAAAAAAATGTCGGAAATAGCATCAAATTTTAGAACAAGTTTAGATTTGTTCGAATTGGTCACCTTTGAAACGAATTATGACCTTCAAACGGCTGCGGTATTTTGGCCCATTCCCGGAGAAGCGCTTGCTTGAGATGATCGACACTTTGGTATTTTTTTGTGGCAACCTTTCCAAAATCCGGATATTTTGGTGGCCATTGAAGCGAGAAACCTCATTTTGTAACCATTCTTGGGTGTTGTGTGCTGAGTCCTGTCGGAATGTCCAAGGTCAGCGGCCAAAATATTTGCGTGCCCAAGGCTTTAATATACCCTCCAGAATATTTTCGCGATAATATTCGGCATTTATTCTGATGCCACGGTCGATTAATACGAGCGGAGAGTGACCATCGGTTGTTATGGCGGCCCACACCATCGCCATGGTCGGCGCTTGAGATCTGGTGGCCAACTGAAGGTGCACATTTTCAGCTGACCTCTTTGGCAAGTAAACACAATCATTTTGTTTGTTTACAAACTGCTGGACAACGAATGTTTTCTCATCGGGGAGAACCAAGTTCGCAGTTTGCGTCTATTTTCTTTCAGTTGCGATATAAGTTCTTGCACTTTTTGGAATTTCAATGGCTTTATCCCGAGCTCATTTTTCAATATTTGCCGAATGGAATATTTTGATATGTTCAGATATTTTGGACCCGGGTTTCGATCAAGTCGCTTATTTACTTTTCGAACCATTTCTGCTGATGTTGAATTTTTCTTCCGTCTACTGGTACCAAATATCTTTGTTGTCGAATGCATATTACGAATTTGAGGGACTTAAACACCTAATCTATGAAGAATATATATGGGAGCAATAGCTATATCTGAACCGATTTTCCCCAAATTCGATGTACTTGCTTCTAGACTTAATTTGGTTAGATGTACCAAAATTTAGGACTTTTGGACTGATATTAGATTTTTGGTGCACTATTAACACGAAATCGCTTGAGGATATATATGGGACTATATTCAAATCTGAACCGATCTTGACAAAATTTGATACACTTATTTCAGAGCTGTATCTGATGTCTGCTACAAAAGATCATTGTTGTGGAATGCACATAAAGCTTGTGAGGGACTTTAAACCCCAAATTGGATAAAACATATATATGGGAACTATAGTTATATCTGAACCAATTTTCACAAAATTTGATTAACTTGCTGCTAGACTGAATTCGGTGGGATGTACCGAAATGCAGGTCATTTGGATTTATATTGGCTATTTTGTGCACAATTAACCCGAAATCGGTTAAAGATATATGGCAGCTTTATCTAAATCTGATCCGATTATCGCCAATTTCAATAGGGTTCGTCCTTGGGCCAAACAGATATTGTTTGGAAAATTTCATCTTAGTCGGATAATAAATACGACCTGCATTTTGTTCACATATGTTCGGATATGCAAAATCGACTCAGGAAGTAATTCTGTGAAGATCCTCAAAATTAACTATGTTCAATGTTACAAACAAATGCACAAAGGCATAATACCCTTACTACTATATGGTGTAGGGTATAAAAACCATGATGATTGAAAAAGATCCTTAAAAATATTACAGTTCATAGTTTTAATTATCCTTGAGCGTTTCCTGCATCAACATTTATGTTATGCCACGGATGATCTTTGAAAACTATTTGTAAAAAATTCTTAAGATTATATCTCCAATGATCGTTGAAAGAAAATTCTTTAAAATACTACGACTACAGCTCTGACGAGCTGTGCACGATTTGATGTCCTTTAAAGTGCACGATTTGATGTCCTAAGATATTAATTACGTTTTTTTTTCCAAAAATAGACTCTATTACCCCTTTTCTTCTAAAATCCCAAATATTATAACTCAAGAAACCAATAAATCATTTATTTTTTTAACCAAAATCAAGCATAACAACGTCCATCGCACAAGACTTTTTTTTTTAATAAATTATACATTTACTAGCCGGATTCATATTGCTACCCAGCGGGCAATTGAATTCTTTTGAAAATTCCGGAAAATTCGAGAGGGGTCCAATAACTCGAAACTTCCCCGGAACGTGGTTATCTGTAGAAGTTTGCAGATTTCTCATTGCCGGATGTATGTCACTGCACCATATCTGGGCGTAGCTAATGAAGAACAATTGCTTGCCGTTGTATGGCAAACGTGGCAGAGTTTCACTGATCATATTGTGGCGGCTACGCATGGCATTCTCATACCAGCGCAGATAAGCAGCATAGGCCAAGCGCACCCCACTGTTGTCGGCAATATTCTCCGATTGGGAGGCCATTTCGGGCAACAGATGGCCATGGTACATGTAATTTCGATATTGATTGACAAAACAGTTGGTGCGATGTTTAAAGGCCTCCGTCGATTTATCGTCCCACCAGTTGCGACTGTTGCCAAACTTATCAAAATTCCGACCGGTGTCATCGAAACCATGGATCAGCTCGTGGGATATCAGAGAACCCAAAGTGCCATATTTCAGGGCATTCGGGTAGGTGTCGGACCACACATAGAACGGCTGCAGTACCGAGACCGGAACCTTGATACGATTTTCAATTAAAATATTGGCAGGGGTGAAGGACAGCAACTCGCCGGCATCGAGTGGAGCGGGAGGTTGATGTAATTTCTTGCGGGAATTTTTGGCACTCAACATCATGGCCGATTTGAGATTTTCCACAAAATCATGTTTGTTGACGATCAGCTGGCCAAATTCATCGCTGAAATTGGTCTTCTCATAGGAGTTGATTTCAATTCGCATGGCATACAACTTTTCCACAGCATAGTTGCGAGTCTCCCGCTTGATCCAGTTCATGCGATCGGAGAGCAGCATCGTTTCGAAGGTTTTCTGGATTTCACGCCACATAAATTCCACACCCTTTTCGGTGTCGTTGGTGTTGTAGATGCGATAGACCATGTTGTCCAAATTCTTGGCGAAATATTTTTTCGTATTGGCAATGCATTTGTTTTTCAATTCCGCCTTGTTTTTGGGAATTTTCAGCATGAAATTCTCCAGCAAAGTATAGAAAATGTAATTGGCCACATTTCGTTTGGGTGTGGTCTGCAGAAGCTCGACCAGATTCGCTTGATACTCTTCAATGACTTCGTAAATCTCATCCGTGGGTAGCGTGCCCAAGGAAATGCGTATCAGCCGTTTGATATCCAGAGCTGGGTAGTATTTCTCCTGCAGCTCATCGATGGTGGTGAGGATAGTAAGTTCATCCAATTGCAGCCCCTGTTTTTCATCCACCAAACCCCGTGCAAGGCCGATTTCAAAATCCAAAATTTCCTGAGCCACCTGTCGTGCCACTGGCGGCTCTATGCCCAAAAATGTTCTAAGATTTGTGGCAATATTCTCCCGGTACTGGTGACGATAGATGGCGTTGCGCTCCTCCAAATACATGGACCTTGACTCCAGCGGCAATTCAGTCTGACCCACGTAGATGCGATTCATGGAATTATCTGCAAAATCAGCCATAATGTCATAGCCCAATATAATGGAGATTTCATATTTGTAGGCAATCTGGGCTATCACCTGCAACCAGTCGAATTCTTCCTCCTGCCAGTCGTCACCCTCCAGCGCTGGCATGCTACCAAATTCCGCCACAATCGATTTCAGTTTATCCTGGTAGATCGCCTTCAGGGCTGACAAGTTCATGCAGGATTCATAGAAGTTCTTTACCTTCTTATCGATGTCTGTGTAGGCTTCCCCCTCTTCGTCATCGGCCAAAACATCGGCAATTTTACGATTCAGTGCCTTTTGAATGGTCTCGAAGAAGCCCGTCGTAATGGTCTCAAATGAATTGGCCGGATTGATGCGATTCCAGGTGCCACATGCAAAGGCATAGAAATTGTCACAAGGATCGACACTCTCATCCATCAAGTTATGGATCTCGGCGGATTTGGCATAGCGCAGTATTTGCAAATCATATTCACTGGAGGTGTTGATGTTTGTCGCCGTAATGGGTATTCCGTTTGCGGTGCGCGAGAGAGTCGCAATGGCCACTGCAACCAATAGCCAAGTTTTTAACATCTTGACCGCAATTGATTTTATTTATTAACTTTTTTTTCTATTACCACTCGCTTTGATTACACTTTTCAAACTAAGCGATTGTTGCATTTCTTTCATCGTATTTTCCAAAGAAAATATCATCAGCTGTTTGAATATTGTTTTTGTTATTTCTTTTTTTTTTTTTGCGCTGGTGATTTACAACCTCCAAAAGTAGGTGACAGAGGTTATCATCGCATTCGATCGCCAATGAAATTCTTTCATAAAAATAGAGATTGATTTCATTTTTAGAACATTTTGCTCTTAAAAGCGGAGTAAGAGAAGAATTTGCTGATGTTTGTCATTGTTGTAGTTGTTGATAACAACAGTTTGATTGGCGCTGGACGAACGAACCCTGCATCATTATTTGAATAAAGAGATTATGCGGTTTAGACTTAGCCTAAAACCATTAACTTATATGAGAATATACTTAGTTAAAAAAAAAAAAAAACTTTAAACAATTATAAATATTTAATGAAATATTCCCAATTTTTCAAAAAAATTTACGACTCAAAAATCTTTTTCAAAAATGTACAAATTTTAACAAGTCCACAATTTTTTGTCCAAAGAATTTTAAATATAAAAAAAAATTTAAAAACATTTCTTAAAAATTCGCGACAAAAGGTTTCAAAAAATTAATAAAAATTCTCAAAAAAATCACAATTATTCTATAGAGAGATTTGGAGAAGCATCGTTAAAATCAACAATTTATGGTTGGTGGAATTGGGAAAAAAACTATTCATTTGCAATCAAGACTTATGGAGAGATTTTACAATATTAAAACCAGTAAGGAAAGGTCAAAAGTTGGCCGGGCCGACCATATGATACGCTACACCACTTTGCGTATTTAGTGGAGCTCATGTAATAAAAACAAGTAAAAAAACATTAAGTTCGGCCGGGCCAAACTTTTAATACCCTCCAACTTAGGGTAAAAGAAATGTGGCAAAAACCATTAAAATGCCGAATATCGGCAGGTACCGTTATATGGGGGCTACACCAAAACGTGGACCTATAATTACAATGTTTCGCCACACAAACTAGGACCCATTATGACCAACAAATACCAATTTTCAGACAAATCCGTGAAAAAATGTTGCAAAAATCATCAAATTACCGAATATGGGGAGGTAACGTTATATTGGGGCTATACCAAATCATGGACCCATACATGCAAAGTTTCGCCACCGGAGCTGGAAACCATTATGACCCACAAATACGAATTTTTAGACAAATCCGTGAAAAAATGTGGCAAAAAAAAACTAAAATACCGAATATCGGGAGGTACCTTTATATGGGAGCTATACGACAACGTGGACCTATACATGCAATGTTTTGCCACACGCTCAGGGACACGTTATGACCTACAAATACCAATTTTTAGACAAATCCGTAAAAAAATGTGGCATAAATCATCAAAATTTCGAATATCGGGAGGTACCGTTATATGGGGACTATATCAGAACGAGGACCGATATATCTCATTTTCAATACTAACCATCCTAGATACAATGCAAATAGCTCTGCTAAATTTTGGCGCTCTACGTCAAATAATGTGGGCTGTATCGTGATTTCACAGACAGACAGACGGACAGACAGACAGACGGACATCGTTAAATCGACTTAGAATTTTATGCTGATTAAGATATGATATACTTTATGGGGTCTAAGACGAATATTTAAGGATGTTACCACCTTTCCAAGGTGGAGGGTATAAAAATATATTGGGAATTTATGTGAAGTAGAAGTATGAACCCTATTTGAATGCGTATCATGGTTTTAAAGTAGTCATAATTTGGGAACTATATCCAACTTTGAATCGATTTTCAATAAATTTTAGCGAGACTTTTGTATTTCTGGTATCAAATAACATAGCTGTATAGTCCATGATTATATTAAACAATTAAAAAAGCTGTAAGTTCGGCCTCCACTATTTGGATTGAGTTTGGCAATTTTCAAGAAAAGAAAATAAAATCCGTTAAAAATTCCCTTAAAATCTTAAAAATACCGAATGCAGCCGTTATATTGGGGTCTATACGACGACGTGGAACTGCATAGGCAATTTTTGTCATAAGCCTTTACAATATTCAAATAAAATATCGGGAGGTACCTTTATATGGGTGTTATACAAATACGTGGACCTGCACAGACAATTTTTTGTCATAGGCTGTAGTATCCAATACGAACTTCAAATACTAAATTTGAAACAATTCCGCTGAAAAATGTCGCTGAAATCAACAAAATACCGAATATCGGGAGATGCCACTATATGGGGGCTATACGAAGACGTGGGCCCGCACAGACATAGGCTGTAGTATCAATTACGGTCTTCAAACATTTCCTGTGAATAATGTCGCTTAAATTTAACAAAATTCCGAAAATAGGGAGGTACCGTTATATGGGTGCTATACGAAGACGTGGACCTGCACGGACAATTTTATGTCTTAGACTGTAGTATCCATTACGAACTTCAAATGCCAAATTTGAAACAATTCCGGTGAACAATGTCGCTTAAATTAACATATGGGGGCTATACCAAAACGTGGGCCTACATGGGCCATTTTCAATACCAAAAGTTCTGCAGACATTGAATACATTTGAGTAAAATGTCTACTTCGGAAGCTGATTTCCACATACGGATAGACGGCGGACATCGCTAAATCGGCATACAATTTTATGCTGATCAAGAATGTATATGCTTTGTGGGGACTAGAATGTATATTTCGAAGTGTTACAAACGGAATGACAAACTTAATATACCCTCCTTACTATAGTGGAGGGTATAAAAATATTTATTGGACCGAGTCTCACCACATTTAAAAATTCGGTTGAATATGAAAAAATCTATCCAATTTGGACTGATATTATATATTATGAACAATAACCGTAATGAAGGTGTATATTGAAGGTACATAAAAATCTGAACACATCGCGATAAAATTTGGCAAAGGTATTTTCGAGCTGCATCTGATGTCCGGTATAAAATATCATTGTTTAGGGAGTGCATATTACGCATGTAAGGGACTTTAACGCCAAATCGGATGAAACATGTATATAGGAGCTTTAGATATATCTGAACCTATTTTCACTCAAAATTGAAGTATTTGTTTCTAGGCTGACTTCCGTTGGAAGTGCAAGCATTCAGTCCATTTGAGGTGTTATAGGTCATTTCGGGTACTTAAAAGGCCTGACACGAACTGTTTGTACAAACCGAAAATTTTAAGGTGAACTTTTCGTTGACGAGGTTGCAGGCGCTTGCTAGTTTTTTTATAAATCCAAAATTTAGGATTAATAAAAAAGGCCAAATTCGTGGCAAAATGTTAAAAAATCTATATTTTGGCCGAGAAGCCTTTTAAAAATTAACAGGGTTGGTCTGGAAAACCTTGAAAAATTATATTTTTGAAAAAAACCTGTCCAAGTTTGATACATGCAGGGTTGCCCATATTCGACGGACCCATCTGGCAACGCCATAACTTTTGACAGAGATGTCACATCGCTTAATGGCATACCGCGTTTGAAGCGTCAGTCCAAGCAGATTTTTACCATGAACCAATACACGCCACGCGAGCGCTCTGAAATAGTTGAAATTTACATTCAACAATAGAAGTCAATTGTGAAAAAAAATGTGAGAAGTGCGTCTTCTAAGAACACCATTAAACGTTTATATGAAAAATTTTGGACTGGTAAGGCTCTTTCTAATCCGAAGAGGCCACATAAAAGTCGACCAAGGCGATCGGCCGAGAATATCGCTGCCTTACGAGCCAGTGTTGAGAGGTCCCCAAGAACATCCCAAAAACTTCGTTCTCAGCAGTTGGGCATGGCTCGGTCCACTTTAGAACGGATTATTCGCATTGATTTGCATTTGTTCCCGCACAAAATTCAATTGACGCAAAGAATGTTGCCTGCGGACAAGCCTCGTCAATTGGATTGGGCCCAAAGAGTCATCGAAATGGCCGAAGATGACGAGCAATTTTGGAACAAAATTATCATGTCCGATTAAGCCCATTTCACATTGAACGGGACCGTAAATAAGCAAAATTGCCGTTTTTACGCCACTGAAAATCCTCAGGAGATTCAAGAAGTGCCTTTTCATGACGAAAAAGTCACAGTTTGGTGCGGCGTTTGTGCGAAAACGGTCATTGGGCCATTTTTTTTTCAAAATGAAAATGGCCATGTTACCATCAATCAGGAGCGTTATCGCGACATGATGATGCCAATTATTTTGTGATGCCAATTATTCGTCGAAAGCGTATGAGGCAGTTCTGGTTTCAACATGACGGCGCTCCACCGCACACAAGTAGCATAACAATCGATTTTCTGAAGAATTTGTTTCCGGGCCGTTTGATATCGAAAAGAGGTGATATGGACTGGCCACCGCGTTCGCCCGATTTGACGCCGCCTGACTTCTTCTTGTGGGGATATTTGAAGTTAAAGGTTTACGTTAACAAGCAAAGGACCGTAGAAGAGCTCAAGGACAACATTCGTGAAGAAATAGCCGCTATTCCGGCCGAAATGTTGGCAAAAACGATGGAAAATGCAGCAAAAAGGGGACCCTACGTCATCCACACCAGAGGCGGCCATTTTAGAGATATCATATTCAAAAATTGCTGTAAACAAATCTACTTGAAACAAATTAAATGATTAACATTGCCAACCGCCAAATTTTTATTTTTTTCTTTGATTAAAAAAAAAAAAACATGGGTCGTCGAATATGGGCAACCTTGTATGTATTAATACAGGTACTTCATTGCCATATGAAAGATTCTTATTGCACCAGAAATCTTGTGATGTGCGAAGTTTGAGAAAATTCCGGGGCTAGTTTCCCTTCTATAGGAGTCTTTACAAAAAAACGCTCACCGTTTTTGGGAGAGCTATTAGGAAAGAGTAGACCGATTGTCAAAAATATTTGGATGCCAGAAGATTTGAGGGATTCAAGTACCAGGTATTTTGAGCATCATACTTATTCAAAACATTTTATTTTGGAAATTATCAGAAAAAGTAAACACGTATTTTTTTTTAATTTTCACAGCTAAGCTAAGTTTGATTAAAATATTACATGTATCATGT